ACGCTGGACGGAGAAGGCCCCGGAGAAGGGGCAGCGGCCGGAGGTGGGGCATCGAAGTCTGCCCAAACAAGCATCGGGGGAGGTGGAGGAGGCTCGCCCGTGGTCGCAGAGTGGAATGGGCGTGTCTCATCGAAGACGACATCACGGCTGCGAATCAGCTGTCTGGTGATTGGGTTGAGGAATAAGTAGTCTGGGGAGTCGGAGTTGTGCCCGAGGTACATGCAGGTCTGGGTTTTGGGACCAAGCTTGCCACCTTGCTTCCTACGCATGTGGGGGCTTAGCAACACATACGCGGTACACCCCCAGACGCGTAGAGAGCGGGCGGAAGGCGTGACCCCAAGCCAGAGAGCGGTAGGTGTGGTGTCGGGCCGGTGGGGATGCGGATAAAGATTGTAGAGGAGTGCCGCATGGAAGAGGGCATATCCCCAGAGTGACCGTGGTGCGTTGGCGTGACTGAGGAGGCAGCGAGCGATCTGAACCAAGGTGTGGTTGCGGCTTTCTGCAATGCCATTCTGCTGCGGGCTTTCGGGGAGCGTGAAGGTTTGCCGAATCCCTTGGGCCGCATAGAAGTTATCGAGTTTGCCAGTGCGAAATTCTCCCCCGCCATCAGAATGGAGGCACTTCAGAGGAGTGCCGAACGTGACTTGAGCCTGGCGCACCCACGCCATGATGACATCAGGTGCCTCCGCCTTGGTATGAAGGAGGTGCACAGAAACATACCGCGAGCGGTCATCGACTAATGTAAGAAAGTACCGATGACCGCCTCGGGATGCGACTGGAGCTGGGCCCCAGACATCCATGTGCACTATGTTAGAAATAGACTGCAAATACCACTTTTGTATTTGTACTGGTAAAGAGCCTCCTAAACCCGAGAGGTCCGCCGATCCAGCTAATGCCGCCGCCGAAGCAGTTTATGCTGCTGCACTGCTCAAGTACAAGAATTGGGAGAAGGCCGATGGTGCGGTCATTAATGTCTTCATGGGCACCACTCCTCCCGAACTCGTCGAAACCTACCACAACTACCCGTCTGCCAACGCCATTTGGCTCTACCTCGAGGATCGCTTCCTGAACAAGACTGCAGTGGGATTTGCTATACTCATCCCCAGCATGTTCCAAGTGCGGCTCGAGGACTTGCCAAGCATGGCGGACTATGTCACCAAGGTGCACTCCATTCATGGTGAACTCAAACAGTTGGGGATAGTCCTCCCCGAGCAAGCCCCTGCAGCCGCTCTCCTAGTTGGCCTCACTCCGGCATACGAAGTCACACGCAAGATGCTCTTGGGCCTTGCTCCTGCAGACCTCACATTTGCCAAGGTCTCATCCGCGCTCCTTTCTGCCGAAAAGGACAACAGCGCTCAAGCCAAGGCCAATGCAATCCGCGCTCCCATGCCTCAAGCCTATGCCGCTTCGGTGCCATTCCAGCGCAACCGCTTCCCCCCGTGTCCCTACGTCATCAAGCGCGGCCCTCGTGCTGGCCAGGTGTGTGGCGGCACCAACCACGCCCTTGCCTCCTGCTTTAAGAAGAAGGATGACGAGTGGTATGCCGTCAATGGGACCGCCTCGAAGCCGCCAAGCTGGATGGTCAATCGTGCTCCTCGCCAAGTCAATCAAGTCGAAGCGCAGGAATCCGTGCAGGCTGCTGTAGCTCCCACTGCTGATGTGGGCCTCCACATGTTGTTCCCTGGCACTGCCATGATTAATGAGACAATTTCGCAGTGTCCCGGCTCACAAAGCACCTCAGCCACAATAGAGTTCACCCTCGACAGTGGGGCCACTCACACGGTTCCAGATCCAACTTACAGATCACAGTTTGACGCAGCCAGCAGATCGTTATCAATATTTGAAGCCGTCTGACAGAAATCCGACTGTGCTCTCTATCTCTCATTATAGGCACATCTGAGCCTATTGTGACTATAACAAGTGGTATCAGAGCCCCTTGGAGCCGTCTCGACCATGCCTAGAGCTGAGGAAGGGGGTGGCAGAAGTGCTGGAGGCAGAGAAGACGCCCAAGCACAAGGTCAACACCAAGATCCACCCGTTGCTCCGGTGCAACCTAGCCTTGGATCCTCTAGGGATGAGCCTAGAGTGTTTGGCCTTGACAAGTTCAACGGTGACAACTTTGCTGAGTGGTCCTTCAAGATGGAGAACATCTTTGACCACTATGATCTGCTGGAGGTGATGGAAGGAACGGAGAAGCGCCCCGAGAACGACCCGGAGAAGAGCCCGTGGGTGCGGAAGAGCGCACAAGGCTACCTTCTACTTGGGCAAGCGTTGGGGAGCAGCCAAATCCGTCACATCAAGCCTTTTCAGCGTGAACCAGCAAAGGGACCAAAGGCATGGGCTGCTCTCAAGGGTGTACACGCTCCTGCAACAGCGGCGGTGGCTGTGGTTTTGGAGCGGCAAATGGCGGCACTTCGAATTGACGAAGGCGAACCTGTAGAGGAAGGAGTGCAGAAATTCTTCGACTTGTTGACACGGCTCGAAGGAGCTGACCTGAACTACAATGACCTTCAAAAGAAGACCAAGCTGCTGGCCTTACTTCCGGACTCATGGTCCTCGCTCATCATCAACCTTAATCGAGATCTGCCCCGTCTCTCACTCGAAGATGTGAAGCAGGAAATCTTACAAGAAGATTTCCGTCGTCGCGAATTGGCGGGTCCCGATGGTGCCGGAGTTGCAAGCATGGGCCGTGGGCACGGCCGTGGAAGGGGCAGAGGGCGAGGAAGAAGATTTGGCAGCAGTAACTTCAATGGAGGCCGTGGTAATGGAGGATATAGCAGCAGCAACAACAACAATGGCTACGGGCGTGGGCGCGGTCGATTTGATGGCGAATGCCACTTTTGCCACAAGACCGGCCACATGTGGAGAGATTGCTTCAGATTGCCTGATGGATGGACCCCTTCTCAAGGCCAAGAGGGCAGAGGACCAAGGGGAGGAAGAGGCAGAGGTCGTGGAGGCCGTGGTGGTCGTGGAAGCGAAGCGGCAAGCATGAAAGGTGGAGACTACGACAAGGACTCGAGTGAAGATCGATACCCGGGCCAATTCTTCTTTGTCTCCACGCAAGCGGTAGCTGCAGCAGGAGGTGTGGAAGGCTTTGAGGAGCCAGCTACTGTGGGAAAGGTCACCCTTCACTCTCTGGACTTTTGGGTGATCGATAGCGGCGCCACCTACAGCATGACACCTCGTGCGGACTTGCTCACCGAACTCGAACCGTCGCCGGTCAAGCATGTTACATCGGCTTTGGGGCAGCGAGCAGAGGTGAAAGGCATGGGCAAGGCCATGTTCAAGGGTGCTGATGGGAAGATGGTGGGCCTCAAGAACGTGCTTTTGGTGCCCAACCTAGCAGTCAACCTGATTTCCGTGCGGCGTTTGCAAAAGGCCGGCATGGACACATCTTCCAAGGGATCCAAAACCTATACCGCAAGGCTTGGTGAGCGGAAGCTTTGGGACCTTTATGAGGACAGGGACATCTACAATGAGATGTGGCAAATCCCAGTGGTCCCCATGCCTAAAAAGAGGCAAGTGGCAGCAAGCGTCAGCACCAAGCGTGAAGCGGTTGGTGGCGGTGATCACGGAAAGCAAAGTGACACCAAGAGTGACTCGAAGGAGTGCAACCTTGGAGAGACCAGCAAGACGTGTGAACCCAAGGAGAATGGTGCAGCAGTCAAAGGTGGTGGAAATGAGGAGGAGAAGGCTAAGATCAACAAAGCAGCAGCGGCGAAGGAGAAAGGAGAGAGCTTGTGGGGCACAATTGCGAGTGCCGCTTTCTCCAACCCGACTTCCGCTACGGGAGAGTGTGATTGGCTGACCTTGCATCGGCGAATGGGGCATGTGGCATTGCCCATTTTGCAGCAGATTGTTAAGCAAGAGATGGTCAGTGGGATACATGTCAAGGGGGAGCCCAATGAGGTGCTTGGCTGTCCAACATGCATGCAAGCCAAGTTCACCCGCTACCCGTTCCATAGCTCGGAGACAACGGCGAAGGCACCACTTGATGAGGTGGTGATGGATGTGGTGGGCCCCTTGAAGCTTGGAGCTGCTGGAGCAGAGTACTTCCTCACCATTGTGGACGTCTACACTCGCATGACCTGCGTGTATGTGCTGCCGAAAAAGAGTGACGTAGCTGAAACGGTGAAGACCGATTGGTTGCCGATGGTGGAGCGGCAACAAGACCGACTTGTGAAGGCGATTCGCACTGACCGTGGGGGAGAGCTCCTGAGCAAGGATTTCTCAACTTGGCTGAAGAAGCAGGGCATAAGGCACTCTCTTACCATGCCCTACTCTCCTGCAATGAACGGCATCGCCGAGCGTGCGAATCGGACACTCACGGAAACGGCTCGGGGACTTCTCATTGAAGCCGGTCTACCCAATTACTTTTCGCCGGATGCGGTGCGGCATGTTGGTTAGAGAAGGCTATAAGCAGATGATTCAATGGCTCCTTGGAAATTTCTGCAGCACTTCGTTATGACGCCCAGAAAACTCGCGACCTTCGAATAGCTATATCCAAAACTCCAATCCGTGAAACGATCTGAAAATCGGATATGTTGTAGCTGGCAGCGTCAGATGTCCACTGAAAGTTCAATCACTCGATTCCGTAGCTTAACGAGCGAGCTTTGGCGTTTGGCGCACTGGGGGGTAATCTGCCCTAGGAGAAATTGACAGTCCTCAGAGTCACTATAATTGAAGCTTACAAGTTCAAAGGCATGATGGAAAAGGCATTGAAGCACAGTTGGAAGGTGGGGTAGGAAGGGAAGGATGAAAGGGAAGGACCCTGGAGGCCCATGGTCAAGAACATGACAAGAGTCAAAGTTTTGACTCCCCATCCTCAGGTTCAGCCAGCCTGGCAAGACAAAATTCACACTGTGCCAGGTTGGCCTCCAAACCCCAAATGCTGCAGCTGCAAGGTGGGGACAAAAGTCCCACACATGCTGGTCCCTCCTCGTTATAGGGCTCTCCAAATTTGGTGTAGCAGCTGACAAGGACTTCCAATGAGTTGTAACAAATCCATCAAACATTTCTTCGTAACTTCTTCATATGTGCTCCGATTCCAACAATTCTTGGCTCATTGGAATGTGCTCGATGTCATGCACAATCCAAGCACATCTGCACAAGCACAAGATGAACATGCAAAGACATGCAAACCCAACAAACCATACACACAACGTAGCACACAAAACACATGCAAACGAAATGATGCGAACAGACGACAGGATGACGTGCAAATGAATATGCACCAACAACGTGCCCGCGCTACGAGCACTTCATCGTCGCGACATTCGTTTCGAGTTGTCGGAATTTCGACGTGCTCCACTCTGCAGTCGCGCCTCTCATCGTCGACCGCCTTCGCGCTTGACCTCTTTGAATTTCTCATCTCTGAAGCCTTCACACTTCTCATCGTCGATTTCCTCCTCGGTTCTCCTTGGTCGAATCTCAATTTCGACCATCTCTTAAAACTCGTTCTCGAGTTTCCCCTCAGACCCCGCCAGAATAGGCGAACTCCCCTCGCGAAATCGCCTCCACGAACGTCTCGCGTCAAGCAAGAGCAGGTACACAGGTTGAAGCGGAGCGGAGCTGGTTGCGGAGCTGGTTGCGGAGCTGTGTAGCTGCGGGACAGGGCCTGGGGGTGTGTGGGGGGGTGTGTGGGTCCGGGGTTAGACATAGGCTCAGATTCAGTTTCAAGTCGGCGTTTTAACGAATTTTCGCCGACACCATTTCCTACTTAGCGGCATTTCGATACAGCCGTCAGAGTGATTTTCAGCAATTCTCGTCGACCAATTTCCAGAAGTGCTGCGTTGCACACCGACAATGGCTTACTCAACCACTTCACTCGCCAACCCGATCCCGCTCCTTCGTCTCGAGCCGGACGGCACATGCTCCAACTACAAGGCTTGGCGCTATGGTGTCGACAAGCACCTCCTCAGTCGCGAGGTGAAGGGGCTCGAGCTCACCGACGTCCTTCTCAACATCGGTGACGGCAAAGAGCCTCCTAAACCCGAGAGGTCCGCCGATCCAGCTAATGCCGCCGCCGAAGCAGTTTATGCTGCTGCACTGCTCAAGTACAAGAATTGGGAGAAGGCCGATGGTGCGGTCATTAGTGTCTTCATGGGCACCACTCCTCCCGAACTCCTCGAAACCTACCACAACTACCCATCTGCCAACGCCATTTGGCTCTACCTCGAAGATCGCTTCCTGAACAAGACTGCAGTGGGAGTTGTAAGGAATAGAGTTGAAATGATTGATTAGGTAAGGAGTGTTAGAAAATCCACCCAACAGAAAACTAGTTGAGAGGCGGCGGCTAGGAGTCTAGCAGCGGCGATGGAGGGGACGGCAATGAGGTGCACGTCGGAAGGGGACGGGGCGGACGCGTGGGGAAGGATCGGGATTTAAAAGTTGGCGTGAGCCATTATTGCTCTATACCATGTTAGAAACAGAAAAGGTTCAGTTTATTGATGAAGGAAAGGCATTACATAGGAAGAGAGAGATGAGCTAGGAAGGGAAGGTTGGAAGGGAAGGGGGGGTTAGGACCAATCACAAGGGAGGGAGGCTCCTTCCAAATGTGGTTGACCACCAGTTGGAGGTGGTCCAAGTGTGGTGTACCACCAGTGGTTTAGCCAACCCACTTGTGGTGCCCCCACAATTGTGGTCCTTGTGTTTGGGGGCTCCAACCACAATTGGGTTGGATTGACACCCCAATACAGGTGTACACCCAACTAGGGATGTAAACACAATATACACAACTAGCATAGCATGGTATATTCTAACACAACCCCATAGCATGCAAAGCTAGTGTATATGTAGGGTACAACCCCAGAATCAGGAAGGGGGGCGGGGCCCAAGGCCGAGAAGGCGGAGGAGGGCAGAGTGCGCGGTCTTCGGGAGGGCCTTGGTGAAGATGTCGGCCAAGTTGGCCTCTGCAGCGATCTTGCGGACCACCAAGTGACCTTGCTGGACCAACTCTCGAACGAAGAAGTAGCGGAGTTCCATGTGCTTGGAGCGGCCATGGAAGACAGGGTCCTTTGTGAGATGGATGGTGCTGGCGTTGTCGCACCAGAGGGTGGGACAGCGCTGAGGAGCACCGATCTCAGCAAGGAGGAAGGTGAGCCAGCGAGCCTCCTGAGCGGCCATGGTGCAAGCATAGAGCTCAGCCTCGTAGGATGAGAGGGCGATGGAGGAGGAGCGAGTGGAGCGCCAGCTGATGAGGCCGCTGCCAAGGGTGAAGCCGTAGCCTTGAGAGGAACGGCGATCCGGCTGGGAGTCAGCCCAGGAGGAGTCACTGAAGCCAGAGAGGAGGGGAGGAGAAGAGCCTCCGAGGGTGAGGACATAGTCCTTGGTACCACGGAGGTAGCGGAGGACCCGCTTCGCTGCAGCCCAGTGCTCATCAGTGTGGCGACCGGTACCGACGAATCGAGCAAGAACACTGATGGGGTAGGCAAGGTCGGGGCGGGTGCACATCATAGCGTACATCAGCGAGCCGACGAGCTCAGCGTAAGGATGGTCAGAGGAGGAGGGAGCAGGAGGAGGGGCAAGCTGGTGGTCGGTCTGCAGGGGAGTGGTAACCGGCTTGGCCTGCGCCATGTCGAACCGCTGCAAGACTTGGTCGATGTAGAAGGACTGAGAGAGGGTAATGGTGCGCGATGTGCGGTCCCGGGTGATGGTCATGCCCAGATAGTGCTTGAGCTCACCCAGGTCCTTGCACTTGAGGCGCGCATGCAGGGCGTCCTTCACTTGCTGCATGGCGGCAGCATCGTCAGCGAACAGGATCATGTCGTCGACATACACCAGGATGAAGAAGCGGGTGGGAGAGGAGCGAAGGAAAAGGCTGGCATCAGACTGAGAGGCATGGAACCCCAAGGACTGCAGAGTGGCGGCCAGCTTGTTGTGCCACTCGCGAGGAGCCTGCTTGAGGCCATAAACCGGGCGGCGCAGCTCCCAGACTGTGTTGGCAGGGAAGGCTGCATGAAAGCCTGGAGGCCGCCGCAAGAGGACCCGCTCCTGGAGCTCGCCTTGCAGGAAGGCGTTGGAGACATCCATGGAGGCAATCTCCATGCCAATGCGAACAGCATAGTCGAGGATGGCACGGAGAGTTGGGAGCTTGGCAGTGGGAGAGAATGTCTCCCAGTAGTCGATGCCATGGGTTTGGGTGAAGCCCTTGGCACAATACCGGGCCTTGTACACCGGCTCCTCACCCGGCAGCTGCTTCACTCGGAACACCCAGAGGCCTTCAACAATGACGTCGTCAGGAGAGGGGACAATGTTAACGAATGAGGCATTGCGGATGAAGGCCTCGCATTCAGCAAAGATAGCCTGGATCCACTTGGCAGCATCGGGGCAGGTGATGGCCTCAAGGAAGTTGGACGGAGTGAATCTGGTGGGAGCGGTAGCGATGCCAAGGATGAGGAGGCCAAGGAAGCCCGGGTAGAGAGGCGTGAGGGAAGGTGTTTGTTGCTGAACGCCAATGAGCTCCTCATGGGAGTCCTCAATGAAGGGAAGGGAGGGTGGGGGTGGTGTTGGCCAACCCCATGGATGGCCTATGAGTGGGCCGTGAGAGCGAGTGTGGATGCGTGGGAGGATGAACGGAGAGGTGGTGCGGCGATGCCGATGAGGTTGCTGCAGTGGCTGCTGCTGCTGCTGCTGCTGCTGCTGTGGCTGCTGCTGGTGCTGCTGCTGCACCTCCTGCTGCGGCTGCTGTTGCTGCACTGCCTGCGGTTGCTGCTGCTGCTGCTGCTGCTGCTCCATCCGCTGCTGCACCTCCTGCTGCTGCTGCTGCTGCTGCTGCTCCATCCGCTGCTGCTGCTGCACCTGCTGCTGCTGCTGTTGCTGCTGCTGCTGCTGCTCCTTCTGCTGCTGCTGCTGCTGCTGCTGCTGCTGCTGCTGCTGCTGCTGCTGCTGCTGCTGCTGCTGCTGCTGCTGCTGCTGCTGCTGCTGCTGCTGCTGCTGCTGCTGCTGCTGCTGCTGCTGCTGCTGCTGCTGCTGCTGCTGCTGCTGGTGCGATGAGGCAGAGTGAGCAGGGGAGTCAGGGACAGCTGGGTCGTAAATGTCACCTGAGGAAGGAGGAGGGGGAGGAGCAGGATTTGGAGGAAGGAGGGGAGCCTGGGGAAGGAGTGGGGGAATGACAGCATCAGCCCAGGTGAGGGGGCGGGAGAGAGGAGGAAGGGGGTCGGAAGGCGGAACAGAATGATAGAACGGGATGCTCTCATCGAACACCACGTCACGGCTCTGTAGGAGGCGGCCTGAGGACGGGTGAAGGAAGAGGTAACCAGGGGCAGAGCGAGTGTGGCCAAGGTAGACACACTCAATGGCCTTGGAGGCGAGCTTTCCTGCCTGCCGAGAGCGGTCAGGTGGGGGGATGAGGACATATGCCTTGCAACCCCAGATACGGAGAATGGCAGCATCTGGCTTGGTGCTAGCCCAGAGCTCAGTGGGAGTGACAGACTGGCGTTGAGGATGTGGGTAAAGATTAGTAAGGAGAGCAGCATGGACAAGGGCATAGCCCCAAAGAGAAGGGGGCGTGGAGGCATGAGTGAGGAGGCAGCGGGCCGTCTTGGTGATCTCACGAATGCGACTCTCAGCAACACCGTTCTGCTGAGGGGAGTGGGGAAGGGTATGAGTCTGCTGGATGCCATGGGTTGAGCAGTAGGAGGAGAGGGTGCGGTTGAGAAACTCACCACCGCCGTCGGAATGGAGGCGGCGGATGGGGCGACCAAAGTGGACTCGGCACTGCTCGGCCCAGGTAGCGATGACAGCAGGGGCCTCGGCCTTCGTGTGGAGGAGGAACACCGAGGAGTACCTGCTGTGGTCGTCGACTAGGACAAGCAGGTACCGGTGCCCTTGGCGGGAAGGGGAAGGGTTAGGGGGGCAGCAGCAAAGGAAGGATGACTGAGGTGAGGCTGTTGTTTGAGCTTTCCATGAATGCATGTGGCGCATGGGGGAGCGGAAGAGGACGGGAGGGGAGGAAGAGTGGGGGGAAGACCGTCAAGCAAGCGGGAGGAGATGGCTTTACGAAGTGTGGGAAAGTTCATATGACCAAGGCGGTGGTGGATGAGAACAGCGGGGTGGGACAGTGCGCGACAAGAGCATGGGGAGGAGGTGGAGTTGGAGGAAGGTGGCTCTAGAGGGAGGGGAGGGGGGAGAGTGGAGGTGCCTGCACGAGTGGTCACGTGGCATGAGGAGGGGCAGGGTGTGCGGAGGATGTACTGACGAGAGCGAGGGCAAAGTGGGAGGCGATGAAGGAGGCGGCGAGTGGGGCCGTGGAGGAGGTCACAGTAGGTGGCAGAGGCGGGGAAGAGGGTAGTGATGCCAGCCTGTTGGAGTTCACGAATGGAGAGCAGGTTATGACGAAGGGAGGGAATGTGGAGACCAGTGACCACTCCAGAGGGGAAGGGGGGGCAGGGGAGGGTGGAGAGATGAGTGCAAGGGATGGAGAAGCTGGAATCAGCACCATGAACGTTGGTGGGGAAAGGGAGGGAGGTGAGGGTGCCGGCGTCTTTGAGGGCAGTTTCAGTGGCACCACTATCGAGAACAAAGTCAATCGTGAGCGAGGAGGGAGCTGAAGACACGGGGTACTGGAAATCACTGGCATTAAAAACAGAGGGATACATGGAAGTGGAAGCAGGGGAAGAACGCATGAGCTCGCCTAGAAAGCTGGAGTGGGAGGCGGGAGCACTAGGGGAAGGAGATCCCCAGAGGGGAAAGCCAGGAGGACCTGGTGTGGCTGTGGCAGCCATGGCGGCGGTGCCAAAGCCAAGCTGCTGCTGCTGCCATGCAGATGCTGCGGCTGCGGCTCCTGCAGCTGCGGCTGCAGCCTGACCACCAGAGCCCCACTGCTGCTGCTGCTGCAGCAGCTGCAGCTGCTGGAAGCGGCGAAACTGCTGCAGCTCCTGGGGAGTTATGGGGTCAGCGACAGAGGAGGAGGAGGAGGAGAGCTGAAGATGAGAGGGGAGGAAAGACGGAAGAGTTTTGACATCCTGGAGAGAGGGGCGGGGATCCATGGCAGACCAGCGTGGGGGGGTGCCAGTGTTGCCGCGCTCGAACCAGGCGTCATCATACGCCTTGAAGCAGGTTGCGGGGGGATGGTTGGTTTGGGTGCAGCGCTCACCCGCCCTGGGACCAAAACGGCGAAGATAGGAACATGGGGGAAGAGTGCCAGGGCGGCCACCACGACTACCAGATGAGCCACCACTGCCTCCACCACCACCACTGCTGCCACCCTCGACCCCGCCACCACCGCCGCCGGCTCCGCTGCCCCCACAACCGCCACCTCCACCCCCTCCCTGAGGATTGGTGCGGCCGCCACGTGGGCGCCCGCCACGACGCGGCTGTGTGACTGCAAGCTGGGGGTTTTGGGACGCGGTGGAGTTCAGGCCGGAGGGGTTGAGAGAAGGCGGGCCTCAGCGTCAATGATCCATTGGACCACAGTGTCAAGGGAGGCGCGGGGCTGAGCCTCAGTGAAGGCGATGACGCGCACTTCATATTGAGGGGAGAGGCCTTCGAGGAGACGGTAGATCTGAAGGTTGGGGGGGAGAGTAGTCTGGCGAGCCTCAAGGCGGGAGGCAAGGTCCAGGAGACGGCTGGTATAGTCAACGGCGCCAGCACTATGTTCGATCGTGATGCTGAAGTATTCCTTGAAGAGCGGTCCGACAGCATCGAAGTCGGTGCGTTCGAACATTGCCTCAAGCTCGAGCCAGATCTGGCGGGAGCCGATGCGACGTGCCTGGAAGTTGCGCATGAGCGCAGACGGGATGGCAAGGAGAAGGGCACCAGTAGCACGGCTGTCCGCCTCGAGCCAGGCGCGACGACGCTCAGCAAATCGCGCAGAGTCAGCGGCATAAGCGGCGGCGGTAGCGGCATGCTGGGTGCGGAGGGTTGCCGACCGCTCGTGTTCCTCCAACGCGATCAGGTAATCAGTATGGAGCACGAGGAACTCACGACGCTGAGTAAGGAAGAGCTGCTCAACTTCAGCGGTGGCAGCGCGAGTGCTGGTGCCAACGGGTACTATGGGGGGCGAAGGTTCCTCGCCGGGATGGGGAATGAGAGGGGGGGGATCGCCAGGGTGAGGTGGCGGGTCCCCAAGGTCACCCTCTGGGAGACCAAGCATGATGTCCAGGAGGCAGAACGGCAGGACATAAGCACTGCCGAGGACGCGGTGGAGGCTGCCGACGAAGGAATACCAGTTGGTTGCTGAGTTGTCGGCAGCGCGCACGAGATGATCGAGGGTCGAGACGTCGACGGGAGGGGGAAAGGATGACATTGGTGACACGGAGTGGGAGGAAGGCGACGGCGGGTGGACCCGCGGTGGCCGGGAGGGAGCGGCGGCGGGTGGACCCGCGGCGGCTCAAAGAGGAGGGGAGGATGGGGATGGCTGTAGATACTGCTGCTGCTGCTGCTGCTGCTGCTGCTCCTTCTGCTGCTGCTGCTGTTGCTGTTGCTGCTGCTGCCGCTGCTGCTGCTGCCACTGCTGCTGCTGCCGCTGTTGCTGCTGCTGCTGCTGCTACTCCTTCAGCTGCTGCTGCTGCTGCTGCTGCTGCTGCTGCTGCTGCTGCTGCTGCTGCTGCTGCTGCTGCTGCTGCTGCTGCTGAGTCTGCTGCTCCTTCTGGTGCTGCTGCTGCTTCTGCTGCTGCTGCTACGGCTGCAGCAGTGGTAAGGCGGCGATGAGCAGGTGCAGGTGAGGAGGCAAAAGATGGGGAAAGATGGCAGTTAGCTGATGAAAATAGGACTTGGTAGAAATTTCAATAGCACTTCGTGATCACATCCAGGAAAGTGTGCAAACTTCGGAAAGAGATATCTGACAATCCAAGCGATGAAACAGTCTGAAATTTTACGACGTTGTAGCTGACACCAAGAGCGTTCTTTTGCAAGTCGAATCACTCAATTCTGTCATTTATCGAGCGAGCTATGGCGTTTGGCGCATTGGGGGTTTTTGAAAATCCACCCAACAGAAAACTAGTTGAGAGGCGGCGGCTAGGAGTCTAGCAGCGGCGATGGAGGGGACGGCAATGAGGTGCACGTCGGAAGGGGACGGGGCGGAAGCGTGGGGAAGGATCGGGATTTAAAAGTTGGCGTGAGCCATTATTGCTGTATACCATGTTAGAAACAGAAAAGGTTCAGTTTATTGATGAAAGAAAGGCATTACATAGGAAGAGAGAGATGAGCTAGGAAGGGAAGGTTGGAAGGGAAGGGGGGGTTAGGACCAATCACAAGGGAGGGAGGCTCCTTCCAAATGTGGTTGACCACCAGTTGGAGGTGGTCCAAGTGTGGTGTACCACCAGTGGTTTAGCCAACCCACTTGTGGTGCCCCCACAATTGTGGTCCTTGTGTTTGGGGGCTCCAACCACAATTGGGTTGGATTGATACCCCAACACAGGTGTACACCTAACTAGGGATGTAAACACAATATACACAACTAGCATAGCATGGTATATTCTAACAAGGAGCCCAAGGCTCTATAAGTACACGGCAAGGTGAGAGTGAATGGATGAAGGGGGAATTGGAGGGAATCCCCATTGAGATCTCCGGAATCTCCAATTGGGTAATTGGAGATTGTGGGGATCACAATTGGGTGAGGTTGGGATTTGTGACTACACCCCAACCCACTAGAACATTCATAACCTAAACTAGGATATAAAAGTACAAATACAAAAGTGGTATTTGCAGTCTATTTCTAACATAGTGCACATGGATGTCTGGGGCCCAGCTCCAGTCGCATCCCGAGGCGGTCATCGGTACTTTCTTACACTAGTCGATGACCACTCGCGGTATGTTTCTGTGCACCTCCTTCATACCAAGGCAGAGGCACCTGATGTCATTATGGCATGGGTGCGCCAGGCTCGAGTCACGTTCGGCACTCCTCTGAAGTGCCTCCATTCTGATGGCGGGGGAGAATTTCGCAATGGCAAACTCGATAACTTCTGTGCGGCCCAAGGGATTCGGCAAACCTTCACGCTCCCCGAAAGCCCGCAGCAGAATGGCATTGCAGAGAGCCGCAACCACACCTTGGTTCAGATCGCTCGCTGCCTCCTCAGTCACGCCAACGCACCACGGTCACTCTGGGGATATGCCCTCTTCCATGCGGCACTCCTCTACAATCTTTATCCGCATCCCCACCGGCCCGACACCACACCTACCGCTCTCTGGCTTGGGGTCACGCCTTCCGCCCGCTCTCTACGCGTCTGGGGGTGTACCGCGTATGTGTTGCTAAGCCCCCACACGCGCAGGAAGCAAGGTGGCAAGCTTGGTCCCAAAACCCAGACCTGCATGTACCTGCGGCCCAACTCCGACTCCCCAGACTACTTATTCCTCAACCCCATCACCAGACAGCTGATTCGCAGCCGTGATGTCGTCTTCGATGAGACACACCCATTCCACTCTGCGACCACGGGCGAGCCTCCTCCACCTCCCCCGACGCTTGTTTGGGCAGACTTCGATGCCCCACCAACGGCCGCTGCCCCTTCTCCGGGGCCTTCTCCGTCCGGCGTGTCTCACCCGCCCTCCCCAGTATCCTCCGCAGCGGCACCTCCTCCTACTCCGCCTTCCCCGCGCGTCGAGCCCGGCTCACCAGTCTCCTATCGGAGGCGCCCAGTCCCTCTGGTCCCACCGCAGCCGCCTTCGTCTCCGGTCTCTAGTCGCACTCGTTCCAACTTCGTCACTTCTTCATCCGAGATCTTGTTCAGAGTGACCAGCTGACGGTACGGTACATCGCCTCAGATTGCAACCTCGCCGACCTCTTTACCAAGGCTCTCGGCAAGGCTGACCACCATCACCTTCTCCGTTCCATGGGGCTATGCGCTCCTTGACCGGGTTTGCAGTCTATGGGGGTGTGTTAGAAATAGACTGCAAATACCACTTTTGTATTTGTACTTTTATATCCTAGTTTAGGTTGTGAATGTTCTAGTGGGTTGGGGTGTACTCACAAAATCCCAACCTCACCCAATTGTGATCCCCACAATCTCCAATTACCCAATTGGAGATTCCGGAGATCCCAATTGGGATTCCCTCCAATTCCCTCTTCATCCATTCTCTCTCACCTTGCCATGTACTTATAGAGCCTTGGGCTCCTTACCTAATCAATCATTTCAACTCTATTTCTTACAACTCCTACCACAGTCACTACACCGTACCGTTCCTTAACGACAGATTACAAACTGAATACTACACCGTTGAGTCTAACCGATTTGCAGACTTATCAACTGAAATTAGGCTGTCTTCTCTTCGCCGCTGTTACTTGTCGTCCGGATCTAGCATATGCGGCTGGTCAACTCGCTCAATACCTACGACGTCCTGAAGGGGAGCATCAACTTGATCTTCTACGCGCGCTTCAGTATTTCATCTCGACTCCTGACGTTGGTTTAGTCTACAACGTCATCGGCTGTAAAACGTTATATCTACACAGTTTCGTCGACGCCGGTCACGCTGCCGATACTACTAATCGACGCTCGCGTACTGGATTTATCTACCGCCTTGAACCTATCGGGCCTATTTTTTGGAATTCGACGAAACAGGAGATGATTGTTCTCTCCTCTGCTGAAGCTGAATTTATCGCTGTCTGCACAGCAACACGCGAAGGACTTTACCTGCAGGAGCTCTTGGAAGAAGCGAAGTTGACGACGAGTACTCAGTTTACTTTGCAGTGCGATAACCAGAGTGCAATTCGCATCGCTCACCAGCCCGGGTTCATCAACAGGACGAAACATATTTTACTGCGTTACTTTTTCGTCAAGGATGAAGTTGAGAAGGGGAGGATGCGATTGGTCTACTGTTTGACCAACAAAATGGCTGCCGATTTCCTCACGAAGAAGCTGACACGACAGAAGTTTCAGTACTGTAACAAGCTTTGCGGGATCTTCAAGAAGTGATCCTATCGGACTTCCAGAAATGAAGAGGAGCGTTGTGATATGAAGCATACTTCGCATTTCTGTAAGTCGATTATCGATAGATAGTGTCGAATCCTACCGTAGAAGATACGTCCGTAGGATGACGTCAGCAAATAGCACTCGTCATGAGGACAGTCGTTTCAGTCACGCGAGCAGTCACGTCTCTTCAGTGTCATTTAGGGCGCATAGCGCGATAGTGTTAACAGGTACATTAGCGAACAGGTACTTTTGTTAGATATAAAAGTAGCATGTCTTCATTGTTTAGTTAACTTGGTAAAAACTTGGTCAACGTGTTTCTGAACTTGTTCTTAACTTGTTCTTCAGTAAATTCTGGTCATTCCTCTACAAGTTCTAAGACTTCCGCTGTCTTACTAGTCTACCATTACGGTAAAGATCCTAGGCTAACACTTGAGGTTTTCCAAGTGTTCGTGTTTGCAGATTCTATAGTTAGTCTCCTGCAACACCTGTCAAATTATTACAGTCTATATTAACATTCTTTGATAGGTTTGACAATGACAAAATATAGAAAAAGCGGCACATATTAGGTGACAATGTGTATGGAACCCGAGTGACCACCCTAGTCCCAATATTAGAATGAAATGAAATTCGCATACAACAAACAGAGGAACCAGAAAAAAAAAGTACTTAAGTGATGCTTGCGAGTATCGAACCTATTCTTACCCTTACCAGCTGAAGCTACCCACTAGACTAGACGTGGCGAACATAACGTGAACAAACAAAAATTAATTAACGTTTACAGATCATTCAATATGCCAGGAAGTAGGGTGCAGTTTGTGAGAATCGATCTTCGACACTCACCAGGATCCCAAAGCTGCGCACAGCTGCGCCAGATGACACGAATCGCAATTCTGCCAATAATCAGAAATAAAAAAACAAAACACAATCGAGCAAATGAAATTTTGGAAAAAGGGAATTGAGCCAAGCAGTGAACCCAGGATGGCACCTTGAAACGGTCGATTACCAGACCGCTAGGTCAGGCAAATTCGAAAGCGAATTGCCTAAAATTAGTTTGTGCATTTCAATTTCAACTAACATGGAAAAAATGAATAAGTTCAGCTGGTAATGAACATAGCAGCTTACCTAGAGAATGAATGGTCTTGTGGGCAGAGAGCTGAGCCAAACGAACTCGGAAGGATCCTGCAGAAAATATTAAAGAATGTTAAGTTTCTATTAACAGAGAACAAAAAATTGGTAGGAAAACGTCCACACGTGAATGCCATGAGTTATGGGCACTGACTGATGAGATAATGTCTTGCTAAAGAACTTGGAAAGGTTGAGCTAGGATGCTTGGAGAACTTGGAATGTTTGAGCTAGGATGCTTGGAGAATTTGGAATTGTTGAGCTAAGATGCTTGGGGAAGTAAAGTTGAACTAGGAAGGTTGAGAGTTGGAAAGAAACAATAAAGGTAGACTAGAATGAATGGAACCACCTTGAGTTGGATTGTCCAAAAAACCTCACCTCTGCCCGATTGTACAAAATTATGCTTCAAGTCTTAGGGCTTGTTTTTAGTAGGTATCATCATGAAAAACTTGCATCCAAGAATGTTGAAAACCCATGTCAAACGTTGAGGTTTCGAAATAACAGTTAGATTTTCCAACATTTCTCGGATGACACATCTTGGTATCATACCTACTAGAAACATGTCCATAACCAAATCGAACAAATTTATGGCAAAAAACGGTTAAACTAAATACAGCAAACGAAATCACTTGTTAGGTCAAGCTAAATAAATTTGGTCACTTCACAGTATTTTTTCGTCCAATGGCGTACTCTACTGCCGTCGCACTCCTTGCCATTTCTCATTCGCTGAAAATGTTGTGCAATTCATCCAATCAGGAGCAAGACGAACCTAAGTTCGCCTACTGACAAAATTAACAACTGCCGAATTGAATATGGCAGCAAAACGGTTGGCCACAGGCGTTACTCGCCAAAAATAACTGTGTTATGAATTATAACTCAGAGTATAGCACAGAATACTATAAGGGAACGTGATTACAGAATGTCCTATCCAAATGAGACCTAGGGCTTATATAATGCGAGGTGACCAGGCTGAATGCCGAGGGTTGGACCAGTCAAGGGCTCGATACTCCGAGAGTGATGGGGTCAAAACGGGTTCGGGGCGACTCGGGGTCAGGTTGGGGACGAAAAGGTCGACGGGGGCTGGTTTGGCGCGATAACCCAGGGCCGAGCCTGCGGACCCGCACTGTTCGCGGTACTCGCTGTGGCGAGCCCCAGTAAGGAATCGTAATTCCCTACACTCTCCCACCTTCTAAAAGGAAAGCCCTCCCTTTATCGAGGTCGAACCTTTTATCTAAGTGACTGTAAGTCTTCTTCCCTGTGACGAGCGTAATGATTATGCCGGCCTGACGAGGTCTTCAAGGCGAACTGCGATCGATGGTCAGAAAGCGTCGAAACGATATCTCGGTCGTCGAATTCTTCTGGTGACCAAACGGGCAAGGGTAAATACTCCAGCGGAAATCAATGAACAGTGAAACCGTCGAGTAGTCGATTGATGATGGCGCCTGGCAGTCGAATTTCTTGAAATGATGACGGGCGAATAACGTGATGGTCGATGAAAATGAAGGACCCATTCGTCAAATGCGAGGTCGTTCAAGTCACATGCGAGAGCACGCGTCCGTGTCCCACGAAAGTCAGCGAACTCCATCAACGAAGTGACGAAATCAGGTGCGGAAGCGTAACGATAACTAATGTCGGTCGAAAATGGTTAATGGAACACGCCGGAAAATTGCAGCACAGCTGCCCTTCTCCCCCCTCCAAAGAAAACAGCTCCCAATTTCCCAGGTAAAACTCCATAAAACCCAATGCTCCAGGGGTGTCGAAATAGTGCCACACTGCAGCTGAAAATCCCAGAACTCAGCTTCCAAGATGCCGCTGCAAAACTCCAACCTCTAGAGTACCCAAAAATTCTCCAAACGTGTAATGTCGCCGCAGGGTAAATAGCTCCAATGGTCTTGAAATTCCGCAACGACTGCCTCAGAAGACTCCCACACGAACTCCCCCCCTTTTTTTTTTTTTTTTTTTTACACAGCTTGCTAGCTGGCCCCAACACAGCTCCACAGTACTTTTGCAACATTTCTTGTACATCTGATACTGCTCCTGATGGGTGGCGATGATACGGTGGGGTCAGGTTCACACAGACGTGCGAATTGAGATTGGAGGTGGTAGCTTATATTACCTTGTACTCTCCTATTCTAACCATTATTCAGTTGTCAGATGGTATCAGCAGTACGTAGGTCCCTCTGCCGGCTCACGCTTCCGCTCTAGGTCCTAGCCGCCCATTTCCCCTAGTCGCGCTGTTCCTAGCTAGCCGCGCGCCCGTTCCAGCCGGCCCCTAGCGCCCGTTCCAGCCGAGCGCCCATTTCAGCCGGCCCCTAGCGCCCGTTCCTGCCGGCCCCTCCCCCTCGCGCCGGTCCTAGCCGGCCCTCGCGCCCGTTCAGTCGGCCCCTAGCGCCCGTTCCTAGCCAGCCCGCGCGTCCGCCCCAGCCGGCCCCCTAGCGCCAATTCCTAGCCGGCCCGCGTGCCCGTCCCAACCGGCCCCTCGCACCCGTTCCAGCTGGACCCTAGCGCCCGTTCTAGCCGGCCCCTCGCCCCCTAGTGCCCGTTTCAGCCAGCACTCGCGCCTGTTTCCGCCGGCCCCCAGCGCCCATCCTAGCCGGCCCCTCGCCCCCTAGCGCCCGTTCCAGCCGGCCCTCGTGCCCGCTCCTGCCGGCCCCTCGCGCCCGCTCCTCGCTGGACCCGCGCGCCCGTTCCAGCTGGCCCCAGCGCGCCCGTTCCTAGCCGCTCTAGCGCCCGTTCCTCGCTGGCCTCTGCGCCCTTTCCTAGCCGGCCTTCGCGCCCGCCCTAGTCGGCTCTGCGCCAGTTCCTAGCCGGCCCCTTGACCCGTTCCTCGCTGGCACACGCGCCCGTTCCTGATCGGCCCTGCGCCCGCCGGCCTCCAGTACCGCACTGCACCGCACAGCACCGCACTGCACTACACTGCACCGCACAGCACCGCACTGCACTCACCGCTCAGCACCGCTCTGCACCGCACAGCACCGCTCTGCACTGCACTGCACCGCTCTGCACCGCACAGCACTGCTCTGCACTGCACTGCACAGCACTGCACCGCTGCTGCATCGCTCCTGATGGCGGACTCCGTGCTCCGCTTCAACGCCTAAAATGCCCTGGTACCCCTGACCAGCTGGCCGTGCAGACGTTCACCCATCTCGCGGCTGCTGCAGGTTATCCAAAACCGCTTCGCTGCTGCTTAACTAACTAGGAGAATCCGCAGAGATAGGAGTGCACACGCTTCTAGTCAGAGGAGCTTTAACGAGCTCGCCTACTGACCGCCGGACAGCTCCCTCCTTTGTCGGAAACTCGTCAAACTATACCCGCAAAAGTCGGAACCTCCTTCTGCCGCACCAGGTAAACTCCCTCAGTTTCACTGCAACAGTAACTCCGAAGGTTTCGGGAACACTCCATCAGCATAGTGTAGTTTGCAGGTTCACCCCCGTTATTCATCCAGAAGCCGTCGATTAATAAGTCGACACTGCTGCCTGGTGGGAATGGTGATTTTAGGGCAACGTAGCTGAGCGAGTAGCAGCCCGAACGCCGCTCACCCATCTGCTCCAGTACTCCTGTCGTTCTTCTCCTACTGCTTCTTCAACTCCTGACAGTTAACGCGTTCGGTGACCGGTGGAAAACACTTAATACACACCCAGGGGTGGTGGCCTCCGTTTCCGTTGATCGTGGGGGTATGAATCGCTGGTCCACGAAAAACGCCTCCCCCCGCGGGAAGTCGCCCTCGCTGAGTACACCCACTCCAGCACAGCATCATCACCTCCAGATGGCCGTCGTAGTGTATAACGCCGAGGTCGTTAATCTCAGCTGCTCCCACCCAGCTGCACACCCACACAACGCCGTGCGATCGTGTCAGTCCGAATTTGTCGGATCCGCCCATAACCGAAATAGTGTCGAAGTCCCGTCCATCGCCTGCAACTAGCCTGCCGGAAACGCCGACTGCATTTCACCATGCAGCTACATGGCACGGCAGACGCCCATCGCGGTGCGTCCCGCCATTTTCGCCACCCCGCGCGCTCCTGACGACCATCTCCCGGCCGCCTGAGGACTCCCGTGCACTAGTCTCCTCATGAGGAAGCCCTCGCTTTTTTCGAAAGCCAATCAGAAGACTCCGTCCGAACATCCGAAAATTACGAAAGCTCTAACGAACATACCAGAAAAAGACGGCGAAAACGTCGTCCACTCTTTCGACGGGGAATAATTCCGTCTACGACCAGGGAAGGGGAGGACCGGCCAATCCCAGTCGTCCATCGGACAGGACCTGACGGCATCGGCAACGCCCGCGCAATTAATTTCCGCGACGTCCGCTCGCCATCAGAATCCTTCCGCCCCCTTTCCAGATAGGATCTGCTCCCCTACCGGAAGCCTAAAGGGCAGGAACGTAGCTCTGATACCAGCTGTTATGAATTATAACTCAGAGTATAGCGCAGAATACTATAAGGGAACGTGATTACAGAATGTCCTATCCAAATGAGACCTAGGGCTTATATAGTGCGAGTTGACCAGGTTGAATGTCGAGGGTTGGACCAGTCAATGGCTCGATACTCCGAGGGTGACGGGGTCAAAACGAGTTCGGGGCGACTCGGGGTCAGGTTGGGGCCGAAAAGGTCGACGGGGGCTGGTTTGGCGCGATAACCCAGGGCCGAGCCTGCGGACCCGCACTGTTCGCGGTACTCGCTGTGGCGAGCCCCAGTAAGGAATCGTAATTCCTTACAAACTGCTTGTGACAGT